CAGCAAATATTGATCAAATGTCTAATCATTTAACATCTTGAGTTTAAATTGAAAAATGTGGGGATAGTGTTAAAATTGCAGGATCTCGCAGTTTGGATGAACCTCTTGAAAGCGATTTACGCGGAGGATACATGGCAGGGAGTGCTGATTTATGAAGGAATTTCCTCAGAACGATCACAGGAGCCGATAACTCACACATACACCTCACTTAAAACGGAATAACACGGCCGTCCGTACGTGTGAGACGGCTAATGTCCTATATCCAGTGTTCCTCATATGCAATCTGGGTCTGACCCGCCTCTGTAAAGTTGTGAAAAGTTGTTGCTGTTGCTGTTGAGGTGGGGAACTCCACAGAGAAGAGAGAATTGTAGGAATGGAGGGGAGGAATGCACAAGTTCCTTGGGCCAGTCTTGAGTTTGGTTCAATTAGTCACAAGGCTCGTGTTAGAACGCTCACAGGGAAACGTGCTGGCAATGAGGCCGACAGACGAAACGATGGTCACAGTCAGCGGCTGCCGCTGAGCGCAAGTTTGAGCGCAGCCGAACAGCTAAAACTACCGGCAATAAAATCCACAGGTCCGGTGTTAAAATAATTCACTGGGAAACCCAATCGATAAATAATAATAATAAATAATAATCCTTGCATTTCATATATATTGCCTTATCACATCTTCGAGACGTCTCAAAGCACTTCACAGACTATACCGTAAAGTGAATCGACTGTATTTAGTGGGCGAAATTGCAAACCAAATTGGAGATATTTACAAACCAAGAAAACACCATCCCCAAAATAAGTTTTTCTCGTGGGAGCACTGAGCAGAGCTTGCAAGGCCCTGGACATCTGCCGATCTGTTAAATGTAACAACCCAAACGGTTTGCTTCACAAGCACAGCATTGGCAAGTTTGCCAAACGCCTGTGTGTTTACACACAGTAAAACCGCTGTCCAAAGGTATTTTTAAAATTAAAATAACTTTACATCAACCGTGCTTTTTATAGGTTAATTCTGGTGCCTGGGTTCTTTTCAAGCGGCACTTTCCTTGCGAGTATTAGTAGCTATTTATGTCAGGATACGAGGCACTGCAACTTTCGAACTTTTAAACAGCCCAATGTCATCCAAATTTCATAGCCTGAGATTATAGTGCGACTCCAGTCCTCGAGCGTGGCTCACACTTGACTATCTGAATAATTTTGGAGGTGCAATGTCATTTTGTTCAAAAGATCTCAGATATATAGGGGAGGACATGAGTGGTTTGCAAAAACAAAACTACCGATGCAAAAAAAAAGCCCAAAAGACCATTGATGTACAGCATTCCTACCATTAAATGGAAGTGTAAGAATCATTTTATACTGAAGGAGTCGTTTCAAATAAACAAATGGTCATATTTCATGAAGAGAACATCACAATCCAATTGCTGGGTCCTTTATTCCATTAAAAATGAGTTGCACGACTGTTTACCCTCTCCCCTCCACCTCACCCCTCCCCAGTGATGCCCTCTGCTTCCCTAACAGCTCAATGGATGAATGCCTTATCGACCAAGAAGGTCCCTGGCTTGCCCAGCTAGTGCTCCAGCCAAAATAGTAGCTGGCAAAGTAAACCAACTGTAGTGTTAAAACCTACATTTGTTTGTGTGTTACAGTCTGTATAAATTACAAAGGTCACTTAAGCATCAAAGGCCGGAATGCTGATATCAGCTTAAGGAATGAAAGTCAGACATCTTTTGGGAACTCTTTAAAAAATGCTTTAAAGCTCCCCTGATGTCTTAGTGTGGAAAGACCTCCCCAAGCAAAGTGCTGCGCCGTGCAGACAGGAAGGTTGCAGGTTCACATGCCTGTGCGGGAGAACCTGATCTCAGCCAGAGCAACAGTCGGGGCTACAATTTCTTGCAGCTCGATGTGGACAAGACCGAAGCCATCCTCTTTGGCTCCCGCCAATGTTTCCTCACTTCTGGCTGTGATCTCCTCCAACCTCTCTGCCGTCTCTCTCTCTCTCAAACTTCTTTGCAAAATTCTTTTCTCCCTCGATCTTTGGTCCCTGAGCAAGACCTGACGTAACCCATAAAACCTTCTGACTCCAGAGGGAAGAGTGCTCCTGACTGAGCCGGGCTGACACACTCACTCCATCCCAGGGACACCCACCTGCTGTTTAGGTTTATATGTTCTCATCGAAGCCACTAGGGGGGGTGTCCTGCTGTGAACATACTGACCACACACAGAGCATGCCTCCTGTTTGCCAAGTCCAGGGGTAGCATTGGCATTGGAAGATCATAACAATAATAACCCTGCACTTGATACAAAGCCTTACCGAAACATCTCAAAGCGCTTCACGGTTAATTCCCGTCAGCTGTAGTGATTGTGTTTGTCGGTGAACGTGGCAGCCAACTTTGCGGACAGCAGCGACCCACAATCAGCCAGGAGGTGAACGGCAAACATTTAACTAGAGGTTGTTGGCCAGCACGTGTTGGGAGTCGGGGGGGGGGGGGGAAGAGTGTGAAGCCTTCTCACAGGGCTTCCCAAATGGGTCACAGTGCATAACTACCAAAGCGACACAGCTTGAAACATATCGGGTATCTTCAGAACGAATGGTTTACAAAGCTGCGACTGTAGAACAGAGCCTCAATTTTATATTTTTCAGATACCGTGTAGTTTTCACTTTTAGTTAATAATAAAATACAGTGCAAACGTCTGCCGGTTAAAATGCATTTACTTTTAAGTCTATATCCCTTGTATTTTTTCCGAGCTGGTCATATGATCCTGCCTTTTTGAACTTTAATATGCGAACAATCAGTTCCACCTAATATATGTCTTGGTTTTGTCATAATACATACTCAGACAACATGCTGTTGCCCACATTTGTGAGCTTTAGATACCGCTGCCAGTCAGCCTCTGGTGGGTTATCTCGGTGTCTGGATTTGCTTTAAGACTTGTACGTCTATCATGGTGGTGTTTCTTTGAATGCGAGATCAAAAGAAGATGAATTCCAGAAAAAAAAATTCCTTGTATGAAGAAAGGAACAGCCTTATGTAAACATCCCCATGACAGCTCCAAATGAGTTATTTTACTAGAGCATTAGCACCCGGGATGACAGACAGGCTGAGGAGTACGTGCAAAATAACAAATCAGTCCCCCCGAGCTAGCAGGCAGTTGCCACAACAGAAATAAGATTTCTAAAGGAATTTTGTCCCAGTTTTATTGTAAACGGTTGTGTGGCAGTTCGTCTTTTTACAAGCTGTCTTGCCACGGAGTCTTGTTTTTTAAAAAAAGAAGCGAGCACTAGTTTTCTTTTTACTGAGAGACGCTTGCGCGGAGGCATTGAGTCGACAGGGAAAGCAGCTGTAATGATGAATGGAGCCTAGGAGAGATTTGAGAGAAAAGTCGAGATGGGCACTGTAGGTTTGGGTTTATTTGTCATTTATTTATGCGAGCATTGCTACTGTGGAAACGGGCCTGTTAGCTGACCAGAAAGGGCAGCCTTCCAGTGTATTTTCATTTCAGTGTGCTTCAGCTGCACAGCACTTCCTGTTTATTCAACATCTTTACACCATTCTTCAGCCCCCGCTTCACAGTAACAGCCAAAGAACAACTGCAAGATGACGGAAATTTAGAGGCTGTGAGATCTTTCGGTAAACTTCCCACTTTCTCTGTAATTGTTTTGTGTTGTATCCAGAGTTAATCTGCCAATTATAGCCATGCCAGCAAGTTCAGTAGCAGTGCTGTCAAAAGATGCAAATGTTATGATTTAGTCTTAAAATGATGGCAAATTAGGTCGCGCCGAGGAATAAAAAAAAACATTAGGAAGAACCAATGTGCATTATATCATTATTAGTGTTTTATGTAAATACCAGAGATGACTGTACAGCCGGTAGAGAATAAGTAGAGTCAAATGCGAGGCAGTGGGAAACAAAGACCAGCAAGTCCACTTTAGTCTACTAAAAGCATGTGTTAATTTGCAAAGTCGGATTCAACTCCAGGAAAGTTGTCTCTCTGTGATTAGCATTGGTTGGTAGGCTGTTGGCCAGGCCCAGGCTGTTTGTTTAATGGTAGGAGTAATCACACGGGGGGAGGGAAGGGAATGGAAAGAGTGACTGAATGTATTTACTCAGATGTTATGCTGATGTAGGTGTGGAACTGAAAGTCACTGTGGGAACTGTGGGTTGCTTTTTTGTTGGTATCTTCGCTGCTCTGATGGCCATCACATTTCCCAGCTTTTTGGTTTTGTTTGTTCTGGACGATCTATATTTGATTATTTGTCAAAAGGAGAAGGGAGGGAGAGGCTTAGGGGAGGGAGAGGGTGGGGGGAAAAGACTGTTTTGTGTTTTATTTTCCAGGAGTTACTTTATAGTCTAACATTTTCCAGTTTTTTAAAGCCACTAAATCCTTATTTTCTCCTTGTTATATGACGATACATTTTTTCTTAGATATTGGATTCAGTGGAATACCTTCATATTATTTTCTCTATTAGTTTACAAAATATTTTATCATCTTTCTTAACCCCCCCCCACCACACACACACACATGTCCCATTTTATTATTCACCCACTCACAAGCACAAGGGATTCTTGGGTTTAGCTGTTTTGTAACATGCTCGCCAGCTCTTCATAATGTATTGTGCCTTTGGAAAATTTGATACCTACTGACAACCATCCATTAATGCAGTCTGAACATGGAATAGTCTTTTAGTGAGAAAGGGAGATATCAGAGCCCAGAAATTGTTGTTGATGCAACTTTTATTTTCAACAGCAACGCTATTAAATCCGAACAGACTTTCGGAATTAAATGTTTCAGTTATGTAAGTGGCACGTTCAATATAATTGAACGCATTTTTATTTCCAAAATGGTTCTTTGCGGGTGTTAGCCTGCAGGTTAAAGTGGTAAAACGAGACATATGGGAGCACCATTTACGGTAACTCTTTTGTGCGAGAGGGTAATAAACAATGTCCCAGTGGATGCATTTATGGTTGAAGAAAGGTGAATGTTATTCTTTTTTTCTCTCTCTAATGCAGGCTCTTCAAGTTGCAAGACAGCTCCTGCTGCAGCAACAAGCCAGCGGGTTGAAGTCTCCCAAGGGAAATGACAAGCAACCGACCCTACAGGTAAAGTGTGTTCATTTGCAAAGATTATGCACAACGCAAAGCAATGTTTAAGAAAAGAAGAGCGTGCCGCTGTGCAACGTTCGTTGGGGCTGGAGTGTACTCCTTTCGATGGAAATGACTCAATGTGGCATTTCTTAATGAGGTATTGTGCTGGCAAGAACTGACGTCAGGTACTAACGGAGTGCTTTTGATGTGTAGATCGCTTAAGAATTTCTCTAGAAAATTAAACACGACTGGTTTGACCTTTCAGCTGCGAGTTTATTTGCCGGGATTCAAATAAGTTGAAAGGATCAAATCAACCACTTTCCATAGTCAAACTGGAAATGTTGTTAAAGAGGTCAGCAGTGGATGCCCAGCACCAGATTCTTCTACAGAGCAATTTGCCAGTACATATTGAGGCTCCAGGCTTTCATGAACTAAAGGGAAAATATTATTCACGTTTATCAGCGCATACACAAAGAGTCACCAAATGCATCCCACATTCATTCGAATATCACCTTGATCTTTCACGCTTACATATAGCTGTAAAGTAAAACCTCTGATACACATTTACACCTGAGTGTTTCTCTTCTCTGCTTTGGCTTGCTTTCTATTATTCATCATGTGAAAAAATTTCTGACGGTACTTCAATAGTGTGATTTCGCATAGGTTTCTTTTTGATTGGTAGCACCTACTAGATGAGACACGGGCAAATAAAGAAAAGCTTTCTTTATTTTCTTAACGTGAGTTCAGGATTTAGAGGCGGCTAAGCTTTTTTTTTAAAAAACCATGTCAGCCAACGTTTGCAAAATTCGAGGGGAAGAAAACAAAATCTAAAATTAATGTTCACAATATGAGGAAGGAGATTTGTGCTCATCATAGTGTCCTTTTTTGTTGTATTTTTGTTTGTTGAATTAAAAGGCTTACATACTGACTGTTCAGCTTCTCTTAAGGAAGAGCTTTATAATCTGATAGACTAGTGGAATCTCTGGTCATTGAGTCCAGTATTCAAACGGGTGAAGGGATCTCAGCTGACTTCAGGCAAACCAACACATATTAATACTCGAATCTCCCATGAACTAAGGGAGCTCAGCTGCTCCATCCACTTACACCAAGGAAAGTAATGCAGTCAGAATGCCAGAGTCCACAATATCTTTTTTTGTTTTGTCCGACCATAGGTTGCAAATACATCTTCCAATTTGGCTCCTTCGGCTTCGGGGTTTGGATTCTATCACTTTTAGGGAATAAAAGTAGCATTCTTTCTGAGTTGTTGGCTTTCAGCTATGTCGTGCTAAGTTTGTGGGTCGTGTGAAGTCAAACCTATTGCGTAAAATGTTTTCTCTTTTCATATTGGAATAACAAAAACCTGGCTTGGCTTGGAAATGTATAAATCAACTTTCCCGAGCTGATGTGCAGCACATAACGCTATAACGCTTTTTCTGAGGAGGGACCAAAGACAAGTTAAGTGTACTTGACTGGTCATAGACGTGTAAATTGCTAACAATTTCCTAAACTGTCACGTGTAATTATGGAAATCCTCCCCGCTCCTTCCCAAACTTGGTTTGGTTTGCACCTAGAATGCTGCAAGAGAGAGACTCCCACCTAGCTAATTAACATTATCACTGAAATGGTAGGGTTGAGTCATTAGTTCCATGTGCATTTAATTAGAGGCAGACTGAAATTGGATTTAACTTATTACTTTTCATGGATCACTTTCTTGTCATCACTTCAAATTGGATTGCAGCCCCAGGTAACTAATTATGGGAGCCACAGGATCAAGAGCGAAGAAGAAGGTAATTAGGAACCACAGCATTAGACCCTTGCTGATAGTCCACTAGTGCTGCGGAGAAAAAAAAAAGCTTTATTTTGTAGCACTGCCACAAGCAGGGGCATTAACATTGGGGAAATAATCTGCAACTCTGTTTGGAATCATGAGAAGGTTGCTGCCACCTATTGTGGTTTATGTGATGTGCAGCTGTGCTGAAGATGTTATGTCCACATGGTATCGCGCTGAACTCCTTAACGCATAGTTTAAACAAGTCAAGTCAACATATTGGATGGAGGCATGAGGTAATACAAGAACTATGTAGTCTGACATTTCTTTTTATTTGTGTGTGTATGTGTGTGGAAAAAAAAGCCCATTAAACCAAATTGTGTAACGCACAAAAATTTAATGTGTTGGATTAGTGTACACAAGAGTCCTCTGTACATTGAGATGTAAACAACCGTTCGCTGTTTAGAGTAGCCTCCAATTCATATTAGGTTCTTACTTGGTAAAATACGTCTGAGGCTTAAGGGATCATAAAAGCTTAAGTATGAGCAACTATGAAAACTTCATGACGTGATTTTGCAAGTATTGCTCAATGTTTCCTGCAGTGTCGGGGCGTTTAGGAAATGAACTGAACTCCAAATATAGACACTTAAACAACTGGCCTTTTACTGTTGTGCATTTCTACTGAAACCACCAGTAAACCCAAAAGGTTATAAAAACTCCTGAAAATGCATCTATAATGATCGAGTTAAATCATCTTTCTGTGGTTTTAAACGGGATCCCATAGGGTCAAATGATGTAGTGGTTTCTCTTTTTTTTCTCAAAGGCTGGCTGAAATGTGGATCGTAGCAGGAGGTGAATATTAACCTTTCTTCAAAGTCTGAGGCATTTGGTGATGGAGAGCAGTGGGTCCTTTCCCGTCGGGTTGTCTAAGGCAGCATTTGAACTACTGTGCTGTCTGTACACACCATAGCATTGTCCCGGCATATGCACACCACACAGCTCAAATCTGCAACTCATTACTGCACAGCACTGGAGCCCATCCAGTGGTTAGAATATTTCCTGAAGCTTAGAATAGCAGCAGTGGGTGCAAACGCCACACTATGGAAGCAACAATGAGGGGCAGTCCATTCCTCTTGGCTCGATTCCCAGTCAGGAAAGCCAGTTGAGACGGTGAGATTGTTGCCATCCATATGGCTTGTAGAGTGGACATGAGTGGATCGAGCAGACATTACCTTTGAGGAAAATGTTGTTGAAAGTAATGTGACATTATCAATCTGCTGCACTCCTTGCTTTAGCCGATACAGAATTTTGTTTGTGATATTCCCTATGATTCCTTACAGATGTGAAGTTTTTTTTTCTCATGACTTAAGGACACACAATTACTTTGTAGCTTGTGTATTTTTTTGTGTTCTGAATCCAGCAAAGAAAAACAAATCTGCCTTTCTTGTCATAATACAGGATAAATGTTTGCTGTGTATGCCAGATATTAGAACCAGATTTCAATAATTCTGACCCTATGAAGTAACCTTGCTTATTATTCAGATGTTACGTGTTTTGAAATATGAATGACTTCATAAAGTCAAAAGACTGTTCTCCCCCTACCCATCTCCACCCAATTTTTGTCTCTTATTCGAAGGTGTGAATTTGCATTTTGTAGTTCTGCAAAAGAGCTTTGAATTTGTTGGCATTTCTATCTTGAGGTAAAAACAATTTGTGTATCACATAACCAGACCTGGGGAACGGGTGTTGTTGGGTTTATGTAGGCTGCTGTTTTGGAAAGTTTGGGAATTTTCCCGAGACTTGTATATGGCTGAAGCATCGTTACAGTCCATGTTTATGACCAAATAAAATAGCTCTCTAATGCAGCCTTTATGTTGCATGGTTGCTGCTGACGGTAGTGGGAACCCCACAGGAAGGTGCTTTATATAACTTGGCAATTGCTGCCTCTCACTCCCATCATTGGCACCGGCCACCTGTGTTTGCTAGCTCCAAATCAGCTTCCTGCTCAGTCCACCCTTGCAGCGATGATCCTTTTTGCAACCCCACGAAGAAGGCTGCACATCAGGGAGACTCAGGAGCCCAAAACCTGTGCAGTTCTTTCGTGTGTCGCTGCCGTGCTTGTAACCGTGTGTTTCATAATACAACCAGGGCAAGATGCACAGAACCAGCAATATTGCAGACATTGCAAACTGCTTCTGTTCGAAATGCCTCTGTTCTGCACTTGAACTTAACGGGTTTGGTTGGCGGAGGGGATTTTTTTGTTTTTTTGGTGTCGTCTGCACGATGGATCTTTTGTTCACTTTCAGTTGAGGTTGTGCGGCACAGTGTTAGAAGATATCACCGGCAAAGCCTCAGCAGGTTTAACAATGACAAAGAATACTGTTAACTAAATGGTCCCAGTTTGGCTCTGTGATTGGCAAATAAAACAGTCTCTGAAACGTGGGACCCTCTGAACCATTCCAGTATCTTTGCACATGATTGGGGTCTCCAATATAATTACTCATGATGGATTGCTTAATATCCCTCCACTTTTTTTTAAAAAAATTCCCTTGTAGCCAAAAGACACTCAAGTCTTTGTATTAAACAGTAATTTTCTTCAGGTTATCTTTGCACCAACTACTGGAAACCTCTTCAAATGATTGTCAATCTGCCAGAGAGGAAAGATGAGTTTGTTAAGAAATAACAGCACTATTTTATTACTGATTTCCGTCGTCCACCCCCCCTTCAAAAACAAAGACAATTGAGCCAGTAAATGCCACTAGTGGCTGCATTAAATAGGCTGCGGAATATATATAAACAAGAGACGCTTTTCGTAAGGTCTAAATCCCAACGAGGTTAGTTCCCAATCTCAGCCAGGAGGAAAAGAAGTGGAGAGGTCTTGGTCCCTAAATTTCGCCTCACTAACTGTACCAGCAGAGATTTGTAACCCTTGTTGAGCCAGCAGGAATGCAGCATATTGGCCACCCCATGTATTGCAGAGCCAGCGTGGCATCAGAGTAGTGGGACAATTCCAACTATTGCCTCTGTAACAACAGCAACTTGCATTTATGTAGCGTCCCAGAGTGCTATAACACTGAGTTCCTGATCTCTGTCATGATGCACAGCCTAAGGTGCTTCCTCCGCTTTTTGATGGCTTAGGTGCACATTTACTAACAGCCAGTTCCAGAACGGCATTGGCAGAAACCCTAGAAACAGGTCACCTTATCACCTGGGAGCATAATAATAATAAATATATTGCAAAAAATTA